CCCTATGGGACCAGAAAAGCATGAGCTTGTAAGTTATTCCCATAATAAATCTTTGAATCTGAATCACCAAGCTAAATGCTTGCGATTTTTAGAACTTTCTCGTATGAATTTTCATTCATGAGGAACTCAGTCAGTTCAAGTTTTTGTTGTTATTCCTCGTTATTAGCTTATATATTTGTCTTGTAAATTTTCGGTTGTTTACCCTAAACTTGTTGCAAACTGTGAAGCTTTTTCTTTTGAAGAAGCTCCCCTCTATCTGCATTATTCGTCCACTTTCCAGATCTTCTGTTGCCTCTGGTCCACAAAATCTGGCCGTCGTTGATGGCACGATTTCGTGATCGTTTTGCAATTGTTGTTGAAAAGGTAGGTATGTCTTTCTCTCTGTGTGTGCCGGCCTATCAGGATGACCTCACATGACTGATGCATCAGTTCATTTCAGTTTGTACAACCAATAACCATGCGCTTTCGTGCGCCGGTTTTGGTTGCTCTCTCTTGGTTACCCATTGGGATGCATCCCCGAAGCTGAGCATAGCGACTTGCCCATCCCGGAACTTTTTCTGTTGTCCTCTCGGTTTCCCATGACATCACATAGTAATGGCGTTAAACGGGACTATACTTCCCAACATCACCCTTAGTCCTGTGGTGTATCAGTTAAATGCTTTTTCCAAGAGGATTAAAGCGATTAAAAGCTTTACCAAAACAGCTTCATGTGTTACATTTGATCTCTGGCTTTTTGTGTGTTCACTTTCGAAAACCAAGTACCTTTAGCTCAAAGTCAGATGTCTCTGGTGAGGTTTCAACTTAGGACTCTGCGCTGCATTAACCACGGTTTAGATCACACAACTTTCTCCATTACCCGAAGACCCTAATGAACCTGGTGCTCTCCTTTATAATCAATATACTCGAAATGCCCGAATTGGATTCTCGGGGCAACTTTAATTTTTGAGCATGTACATCTTTATGATTTTCTTGCATCGAATAAATACCACAGTATTACATACATAATATCTGGCTGTTCCTAGAAACTTTCAAATCGGTACTTCTGATCAGTTCCGATTTGAGTTTGTGACAAGTTCGTAACACACCCTCCATACGACGGGTGTGGTATTCCTATCCCGGTCGGATCTGTGGATGTTCTCCATTGATGAGCTTGAACAAGAGCAAGAGGCTAGCACTTCCCGCGAGCTGGGGTTAGCTAGGAGGACTGAGAATTATGCTTGGAGATGAAATTTGAATGATGCTGGGTCACAACCTTCGCCTGGTCTTAACGCTATTGTTTTGTCAGGATGTTTCAACTCGTCCTGTGATTATGTGCTCACCTTATCACCAACCGCATCTGTATTTCCGCCCTTTTCTGTTGATCTCCCACAGGCCTTTCAGTTTCTGGTCGTTTTGTCCAATGTGGCTCGAGATTTCTTACGTTCCAGGGCTTCCTCAGATATTATCCCCTCGTTGGTCACATTTCTGAAGCGGGGTCTACCTGTTAGGTTAGTACTGCTGTTCTGTGTCAGAAAGTGTTTTCTTGTAGCCCTGTCGATTGATTGTCCTGTGATTTTGTGCATTGCAGTGAACTGCTGTTCACGCGTGGATTTACTTTGTCCCTCATTCGCATCCCGTTTTGAACGTGGCTATATGTACATACCACTTTAGGGGATTCACCTTGATATGTTGTCGAACCATGTGTTTCGTATTTGAATAAAATAGCATCATGATTATTTTTTATCGTTTCCCTACTGGATTGTTGACCAATTTTAATCCGGTTACTGTGACGGAACCTCGTTGTTACTCCATGAATAATGAAGTATGAGATAGCTGAAAGCATGTACAAATCGCTTAGTTCCATTCAGCGGAAGGAGAAAGGACATGGAAAATACGTATAAGGGACGATCGCTTGATAAGGTCGATGTCAATCGCCTGCCTTAGGTTATCCTGTCGGTTGGTTATCTCGAGACAGTGCGGATTTCACGAAAGTTTTTTTTATTACACACATTTGTGTGGTGAACAACAGACGAACCCCATAGTCACGAAGACCTACTGCTCCGTCATGCAAACCGGTAACCTAAGCCCCGGGACTTGGAGTGGTGCGAACCGCATAAGACCCCTCTAGGTTAGGCGTGTCATTGAACCGGACGACAGCAAAGCTCCTTACCACCAAAGATGGATGGCGTTGGCTGGGCTCGAACCACAGGGTCCAAAGCAAGCCGGCGATAGCGACTAAACCACTGCACCACCATCACCACCACAAAGTACCGCAACTATATGACTCTAATTTTGTCCCATGAAAATATTGCATGTCGTAGTTTGGATTTAGTTTGCATTTAACCAGTCTGCTCAAAAACTGCCGCCTCTCTTCAAATCCTTTATCTAAGTTATTCAGTCTGTTTTCCGGCCCTCAACCACTCGCACACCTATTAAACTTGCATTCTGTTCCTTACCTTTAGGGAACTTCTTGGACCCTAGAGAATAGAAAATTGTTTTGGCTTGGCCTATGAAAAACCGCACTTGTTTGTGATTAAGACACTGGTTTGTGGCAAACTGTACTCTTTTATCTATGAAGAAATACAACCGCCGTTGGGGGGGGGGCTGATTAAAATGTTGTATTTATAATATTCGTTCGTGATACAATGGCCACCGTCTTGTTTAAAGCATTTCTTATTTTCTGCTTTCTTCCATAGTGCCAACTCAACTGAATCCTATCGTCACTTGACATCCTATCGCGTCCAACACGAACTGTTAGCCCGACTCGGCACATTCTGTTCGGATGTACGTTGTCGTTTATTCATAATCCTCTTTTTCTACATAGCTCAACCTCGGCACAGAATCTTTGCGTCCGGTTGTTCGACTTTGTGCGCTCTATTTGGCCACCAATCAACCGCCAGGATTACGACAGGTAGGCGAGTGGCCTGTGTCTGGCTTTTGTTCCCCTGATCTCTCATTTACCCTCTGTTCTATTTTCTTGTTGCTATGTCGTTCGCTGTTGAACAATTCTCTTGCAGTATCTTACACTCTTGTGTGTGGAACCGGTATGACATATTACAACATGACTCGCTCTCTTTTTGTCTCGTTCAGGCCACCTTTCAAAGTGTCAAAGTATTTTGGCTTCTGGACCCGGGGCTGGTTTGGTTTGAACTCCTCTCCCGACTTCCTCACCGTGATTTGGTGGATGTTCTCCCCTCTCCACCAAACAGTGCACGATTTTCCCAACTTCAAGTAGGTTGTGTTGTCTCAGAAATCACAAAATGATGATTTCATTTTTGTTTTTAAATGTTGTGATTATGCTTCGGTTTCGTACACACGTACTCGTACTCTTTTTGTCTGATGCCAACAAACTCATGGAGACTGATCGTATCATGACACACCTGACAAAACCGATTCCGCAATAATAATAAACAAAATGTTTTCACTTCTTTTGGTGGTAGAGAAGTATCCAGTTAGTTTTTGAGAACGCTGTTTGAGGCTATGCGGAACTGGGGATAATGGGCAGCGGTGGGTAAATTCGAACTTCAGACCTCTCGGTCAATATTTTGATGGTCTTGAACACCGCAAAAGTTGGCATGCATAAAGTGAATACTGCTTGTTTCGGCCTTTGTATCCGTCGTTCCGCTCCATTTGATGGGCTACACACAGAATGAGTCTAATCACGCGTTTATCGACGCTTCACGAGAATTTATACAGATCGTCTAGATCATTTGATGCCTTTCGTTTACCTACATATTGAAAATTACACACATTCAAACCCTGTTGGTTATAAGAATGACAGATTTGTGAACAAGTGATAGACAATTGCCTGCTAGAACTTTTAACCATATACCAGAACATCGAGCATCAAATGAATTCAAGCTTCGAGTTAGCTGGAAACAACTGCAATCTACTCAATTGTAACTAATCTGGTAGTCATGCCAGTAAGTCACTGTAAATATTGCGATGTTCATACATATATTAGTATATGATATAAATATATTGTTTGGTCAAACATATACTACTTGCCATAAAATATTCACTTAAGACGCTCAAGTTACGTTTGTTGCGGTTAGTAGCATCTAACCCACTTACAAAACATCGAATCATAGTATTGATTCTTCAACGGACTGGCTCTAAAAGAACTGTCTATCTAAATATCACCTGGTGTTGCAAACAAGGTTATTGTGACGAAAATACATTTCCTGGGTACAAGTTTATGAGTGAGCTGACCAAATAGTACCGGATACGCATGCCTGACGAGCGGCGAGAATCGCGAGACTGGTCGTGTTCTTTCAGAGGAATTTTGTCTGTACTACTTACTATGAAATAAATATTTTATATATATTCGACATGTGTCAGTATTCAACTAAAAAACAGTTATTTTTGGAAATGAGAAGTAAACATCATAGTTTGTTCAGGGTTAATTTCGTCTTCGGACCGAATATGGAATTCTCAATCGTCACATAATTGTTAGGTTATCCGATTGTTTGAACTACTCGGGATATGGGGTGTGTACGACATTTGTGGTGATGTATTGCTGTAACTGCGAATCACTGAAAACGAGCTTGTTCGCCACTCTTTGTTCTATTTGAAATATGCACTGTGGAACTGTTTAGACAATCTGATAGTCTCAAACATCTGGTATGGAACTTCATGTATTGATAGTGGCTCCAGACCGACAAGGTTACATGCTCGAAAGTTGTTTCGATCTTTGTGTGTGTTGACTCCTGAGGCATTTGCTGATGTTCTNATAAATTCCATCAAGATGGTTGATATCCTGATGTTGCTTCTTCAGCTAGCTTTCCAACTTTTGCTTACATCGGCATCATTTCGATTGAAACGTCGTAGGAATTCGGTACTACACTTTCGCTCGCTATACTTGCTGATTTCTGATGCTCCCGAGCTTCGTCCGGTTAAACCATTGGCACTTTTGAGAGAATGCTATTTCTTTTCTCTTGATCAACTAATTTTTTTCGCCACTTGCCGAGTGAGCATCGAACACAGGAGATTAGAGATATTCGTCTTCCATGCACAATCAAACAACTCTCAAATCTAAATGTTTAGTTCTCTGGTTTGAAATACGCAGATCGGTGTTTATGGTTATGACGTTAACTTGCCTCGTTGTACCGTTTGTCATGTGTAGTTTCAAGCACCGTAGCATTTTGAGCGGTTTGTTGCAAGACACTGCTATAGCTTTGAGCTGACCCCTCTTCTCAAAATGTTACTGTTTGGAGTCATAATACAGGGACTGGTTAAATATTATTTAATACGCAGTTGCATCCTAGTCTGCCGGATCGGAGGTAAAATATAATCGTAAATACAAACCCCCCGTCATCATTCTACCTGTTGTGTTCTTCTGACGTAAAAGCAATGTCTGCTTTCCGCTCTGCACGTGTGTACAGACTGACCCAGTCAATTTCAGGAATGTGCGTCTATGCTCATCTATCAAACATCGGGTGGGTGCTTTGTCTTGGTTGTGTACTTTTGCCTCATGATTATTGTAAGATCACTTCTCGTAACTATAACGCGCACGTCCTATGATTAGCCAAATGCATTGTTAAACTGTACTGTACTGTTACGTAGCGTCACACTGTCAGTCACTTCATCCTGTATCAACGCTTCATTCTATATTTTTCATTAAATGGAACCAATCGAAAGTCAGGGTTACGTGTGTCTGGATATTTTTTTTCAATTTTCAACATGTGCTTGAGCAATTCTCTCTGTTTAATCGATCCTAGGGGTCTCTCAACGGGGTTTTAACGTCCATCCTGTTTATTGTTTTCAGCTAATGCCTGGTCTTCAAGACAACGAATCTCCTGGAATCAGTGCGGACTCGTGGAAAGAGTTATTGGCAGAACTTGTACGGACTATATAACTATTGCGAACCAGATACTTCTGCCAACTCCAATTTTGTATAGATTTGACATCTTCATTATCCCCATTATTTTCGCGACCGACTGAGAGGACGTGTACTTTTTCAATAGTTGGCATAAATTACTCACTGAGTTTCTGCCTTATCAAATTACCCTCTTCCTACTGGTGTTCTCAGAGCCGAATTCAGGATTCACGTGTAACTCTGTGACGTGACTTATCCTCAAGAGTAGTAAACCGTTCAGACGTTGAATCGCTTCTGTTAGTGAACTCTGTGAACCGAGTGCACACCTATCAGTATCCACCGACCCACCCAAAGAAGCGGAGATCCGAAATGAACACAGCTCTGAAATGCCACAAGGTCTGGATTAGACAAATTGTCGCCAACCCCGTTTAAAGATAGTGAAGAAGTTCTCGTGAGAGTGCTTCCCATACTGTTCTCCATCGATTGCTCCAACCTGCTTTTGAGTTACGAAGTACCCGAGATTTGTTTTCTGATTCCAAGGGTAACTCTATCATCAGACCTCGGGTAAGGTTAGTATTGTAACCGCTCAGAATTATCTCTATTGTGGGTTGTCAAACGGTCGTCTTCTGATAAGGTTTCTCTTTCAGATAGCGATTCCACCGTTCTTGAAAAAAAACCCGCTAGAAGCATGTACAAATTCAACTATCATGCAAAAAGCGTGGTTATCTATAGGACAGTGGAGTAACATGGAAACTCATATATCAAACAATAGGTAAACCGAATAGTTGCCTAGAGTCTTGATTGATTGGCGGTTCCAAAGAATCACCTTAGTTCAACTATCCTTGTTGTCTCATGGGTTGTCCCACAGAAAACCAGTTTTTGGGGAGCATGCTGTGTTTCTGCTACCTCTCGTTCCCCTCCGAGGCTGTCTTGTATATGTTCGAAGCATGGCATCTATCTGCCACGGCTTCATACTCCCTCCTTTTCTCAGAGAGCGTCTGTTTTCTTCCGAAGGCTCTTGGGACACTTAGAGAGGTTGGTGCTTGCACTTCTCCGCTCGGCATTATGAAACTGTTCATAAGCAGATTAATGACATTGGTGGATCTGTCTGCAGTAATCCGGTGCTCCCTGTGCTGTGTAGTTGGTCCATATGACGGAATCAGTTGTCCGAACTGACCTGAATCTCATGTGTTATACTACCGCATTTCCGGGGAAATATCCTCAATGTCCGCTTGTTGAACTGCTACTCCATTCTCTTTTTTGTTAACTCCATTGGATATTGTGGGTCGAATTACGTCGAACGGCATACGGATTTTTCTCAGTATTGTAGCTTCTGCAGGAGGTACGCCGCTTGGGTTCGGGTAGAGCAGGATTGAGAATACGAATCGGAATCAAACAGCGCGAACTGGAGTTCATACTGAGAATTCACTGGGTCTCGCTCCAGGTAGAAACAAGAGAAGCTGTGAATACAGTTCATTGCATTCGCAATGCTAATGAAGTCCGTAGCCTTATGGGGCTAGAATCGTATCACCGACGTTTCGTTAAGAATTTTGCGAAGATTGCGGTGCCGATGCACCGACTCAGAAAAAGGGCACCCGTTTCAGTTTACTAAGGAATGTAGCGACACAGTTGAACAACTGAAACGAACCTTATTCACCGCCCCAGTACTGGCCCTGCCGGACACAGTACCGGCAGCAGGGAAATTTATAGTGGTTACCGAGGCCTGCAATTCAGCAATAGGTGCTGTTCTCTCTCAGCTGCTACCTGATGGGGAAGAGAGGGTCATTGGGTTTGCCAGTCACCGGTTGGATAAATCTGATAAAGAATACAGCAGTACCCGGAAGGGGTTTTTGTCCCTGGTGCACTTCTTGCTATATTTCAGGCCGTACCTCCTCGGGAGACCGTTTCGTGTAAGGACCGACCACCAGGCGCTGTTATGGCTGCGCGAATTCGAGACCCACAAGGTCAGGTGGCTGGAGAGATTGCAAGAATACGATTTCGATTGTACCTATAGGGCTGGAAGAGTCATACCAACGCGGACGCCCTTTCGAGACTCCCCTCATACGTCCCGGTTAACACAGTGTTCGCCGAGTTGAACTGGAAGAAAGCTCAGCTCAATGACCTGTATATTTCCTTCATTTATAAACGACAGATAAGCAGCGGAATCAAGCAATTCGGTCAGGAAGAAGAGGCGAATGAACCGA